AATGGAGTCTTTTTCGAACGTTGTGTCCTTGAGATACGCTCGCAGGCGACAAGCCTCATCTCCATTGCAGACAGGCTGCTTCACGAAGCACAAACTCAATGGAGTATTTTTCGAGCGTTGTGTCCTTGACATACGCTCGCAGGCGACAAGCCCCATCTCCATTGCAGACAAGCTGCTCCACGAAGCACAAACTCAATGGAGACTTTTTCGAACGTTGTGTCCTTGAGATACGCTCGCGGGGGACAAGCCTCATCTCCATTGCAGACAGGCTGCTCCACGAAGCACAAACTCAATGGAGTCTTTTCCGACCGTTGTGTCCTTGAGATACGCTCGCAGGCGACAAGCCTCATCTCCATTGCAGACAAGCGGCTTCAAGCAGCAAAAGCTCTATGGAGTCATTTTCGAGCGTTATATCCCTGACATACGCTCGCAGGTGACAAGCCTCATCTCCATTGCAGACAGGCTGCTTCACGAAGCACAAACTCAATGGAGGCTTTTTCGAACGTTGTGTCCTTGAGATACGCTCGCAGGCGACAAGCCTCATCTCCATTGCAGACAAGCGGCTTCAAGCAGCAAAAGCTCTATGGAGTCATTTTCGAGCGTTATATCCCTGACATACGCTCGCAGGTGACAAGCCTCATCTCCATTGCAGACAGGCTGCTCCACGAAGCACAAACTCAATGGAGTCTTTTCCGACCGTTGTGTCCTTGAGATACGCTCGCAGGCGACAAGCCTCATCTCCATTGCAGACAAGCTGCTCCACGAAGCACAAACTCAATGGAGGCTTTTTCGAACGTTGTGTCCTTGAGATACGCTCGCAGGCGACAAGCCTCATCTCCATTGCAGACAAGCGGCTTCAAGCAGCAAAAGCTCTATGGAGTCATTTTCGAGCGTTATATCCCTGACATACGCTCGCAGGTGACAAGCCTCATCTCCATTGCAGACAAGCTGCTTCACGAAGCACAAACTCAATGGAGTCATTTTCGAGCGTTATATCCCTGACATACGCTCGCAGGCGACAAGTCTCATCTCCATTGCAGACAAGCTGCTTCGCGAAGCACAAACTCAATGGAATCTTTTTATTTCGACCATTGTGTCCCTGACATACGCTCGTAGGCGACAAGTCTCACCTCCACTGAAGACAAGCTACTCTTCGAGTACAAACTTCATGGAGTCTTTTCAAGCGTCATGTCCCCGACATACGCACACAGGCGACGAGCCTTACCTCCATTGTGGGCAAGCTACTTCACGAGTACAAATTCAATGGAATCTCTTTCAAGTGCTATGTCTCCGAACGTACACTTACAAGATATAATGAGAATTGAAGTTTGAAAAATAACTGAAAATTCCATAGCAAAGCGGCCAACCAGCCAAGTTCAACAGACAATGGGGCGGTCAACCAAAGACCACTTATTGAAAGAAAATTACAAAGTTCAAAAATAGCAAAAATGAACTACATCTACTAGGGGACTTCAGCAGGTGAACCTTAGCCGATCACATCCTCAGCTGCGCTGGCAACAGCCTCACTCTGCTTAACCATCACCACCTTCTCAACTGCCTCGGCTGCTTGTTCCTTACCCTCCTCAACTGGCCCGCCTTGGGGCTTGTCTTCCTCCGTTGCGGCTTCATCTGCTACCTGTTCTTCAACTGCTTCTGCGTCCACAACATTGATCTGCTTACTATGAGTAGGGGGCAGATCAAGACAGGACTGCTCATCATCGTCATCTTCGAGAGGGCAGCAAGGAGAAGCACCGTTCTGGCAGTCTAGGTATCCCAGCTTGTACGCATTAGTAGCAATCTCATGTTTGGACGCCTCTGTGACTTCCACATGGTTGTCAAACTTGACCAGCAGTCTATCACGATCTTGGGCTATAGCGGCATACTTGCGTTCGAGGCTAAAGTAGGCTTCCTTGCGTTCGAGCAGGGTAGCCACAAGAGACTTGAGGTCGTCATCTTTTTGGCCAATAGAACTCTTAAGTGCGGACATACTCTCCTTCATCTCGGAAATCCTCGCGTCATGGCGAATCCGCTCGTTCGAGAGCTTGTCAGTCAGGTCAGCGTTCTTCTTCACCAGCTCGTCAAGCAGGGCAGAAGAGGGGGCAACATCATGCGAGTTCTGCATAGCCCCAACAGCAAAAACCATCCCTTTTTGAAGGTGATACATGGCAGCCTCTTCTTGCTTATCCAAGGGAAGGCTCGAGAAGGCACAAAGATCAGCAGCTCGATACACATGGTCAGCTAGCTTAGCACAAGCAGATGGACTTGATAGAAAGCCCATTTTCAGCAGATCAGACACAGGCTCACCCACAACAGAGCTATCGCCAATCCCCAAACCAGCAGTTCGCACGACTGGAGGACTCTTTGCTCGAGCAGATGACTCTTTAGCTCTCTTGCTTGCAGCTTGCAACATCGAGTCAGCTCCACGCTTGACTATTCGTGGCTTTGCAGACGAGTCGTGATTGCTAGACAGATGTACAGTCCTCTCAGTTTGATCCCAAGATCGGCACAAGCAGCTCAAACCCTGCTTCTCAACAGCCTCCTCACAGGGTAGATCATGGGTTTTAGGCAGTTCGAGCGGATACCTGAGCAGAATGTCCCAGACCTCCTGCATGCCATTAATCTTCTTACTGTTCGTGCTGACGAGGCGCTTGATCCTGGCAAATGAAGAAGCAACTCCCATAGGGACATTCCCAGCAAACGAGACCCCCTTACGAAAGACTTGCTCGTGGAAGAATGAGGAAGCTTGGTCGAGGACTTCTCCCGCTCAACTGGCAGATCATCTAGGTCCGAGCCATGCAGCTCCCATCTTTCAACATCTTCGGCTGGGGGCAGGCCATCAGCCTCCTTCTAATGTTCACTCAACAACTAGTGCAATCTAAAGAACCTGGCAAGGATGTTA